CGTCTTCCTTCCTGATCAGTCCATCGCATGGAACAGTATCAGAAGCTTTAATAAAGTTTAGTTAAATTGCATCATAATAATTATCAATGTCAATCTCTTCAAATAAGTTTTAAAAATTACGACAGTAAACTAACTACCAACCTTTTTACATATTGTGTCATCACCCGTAATGCCACAATTCTGAGGCAGTGCCCATCTGTAATGATTTATTTAATAAGCTTGGCTAGGGTTGACTAAACACTTCCTTTCATTCTTTGAATACCTTGTAAAATGCGGTCTGGGCTTGGGGCCTTATTTATTTTAATTTATGTGTTGGAATTCCTAAACCATACCTAGTTAATATTAATTTACTTGTTTTCGACGCCTCTTTATTATTTTGTTCACCTTCATTCAATTTTCAAGTTAGAAACTTTATAAAATCTTCCTTAAATTTACCTCCAGTTTTTTCCTTGTCCGTTTGATATCCTGAGATGATTACAATGGCAATGTCAATCCAAGAGCAGTGACACATAACAATCCATTGCCAGTGAGTGACCTATGACATTTCAAAGCCAATGACCCATCACAATACAGAGCCAATGACTCTGGGTCACTGGCCATGACAGTTCATGGCCAGTGACCCATGACAATTCATGGCTAGTGACCTATGACAATCCATGGCCAGAGACCCATGACAGTCCATGGCCAGTGACCTATGACAATCCATGGCCAGTGACCCAAAACAGTCCATGGCCAGTGACCCATGACAGTCCATGGCCAGTGACCCATGACAGCTCATGGCCAGTGACCCATGACAATCCATGGCCAGTGACCCAAGACAGTCCATGGCCAGTGACCCATGACAGTCCATGGCCAGTGACCCATGACAGCTCATGGCCAGTGACCCATGACAGTCCATGGCCAGTGACCCATGACAGTCCATGGCCAGTTACCAGTGAGTGCTTAATGTATCCACCAGAAATTCTCAACCTCTCTTTGGTGCCTTTTGATAATTACTTAACATCCTCTGCTCTCATGTACACATCACCTCGGTCTTGGTCAATCACCTCCACTTCCGAGTTGTTGAAACCAAATTACGGAAGGCGACGGCATGTGAACCGGAGTGGACTGTGCTCTTGTGCAACAACACGATGACCCAAGCTGGTCTGACCGGACGGCTTTGGCTGTGTATCGGTCCGCTGATGACTGAGACTCCAGTGATGGTGGTGGTGGTGTTGGGCAATGATCAGAGGAGTTAGTGACTGAATTACTCTCTAGCCAAGGGCGTGCCTGCGTTCACTCTTGTACACCTGACAGACACAACCAGTGATATGTTAATGCTTAACTCATCAAACACATCAAAGTCAGCATACACACACATACATCCATACATACACACATACGCACGGTCATACACACATACATAATATTGATCTAAATCAGTCTTTCTTACCAAAATGATTATTCGTTTTCAGTCTGTCCTTGGAATTTCCTGTGTACTGCTCATGGCCGTGGCGCTCCACACCCACTTATGCACCCACTCTCTTGTCTCCTCGTACACTGACTCTATCACCCCCAGCGTTCACACCCTTCCACTCACACCCTCACTCCCGCTGCCACACCTTCACACGCACCCAGCCACAGACCCAGTCGCACACCCTTTTGGACACTCACTCACGTACCAACCTGACACACCCACTCATACCTACCTCATGCACCCACTCACACCCCCTCCTGAGCACCCCCACTCCTACTCATTCATTCTCTCAGATATCCACTCACGCCCCCTCATCACACACCCACTCACACATCCTCCTCACACACTCACTCTACACCTGCTTTCACACACACACACACACTACACCTACTCTCACATACTAACCAACTCGTAGAAACCATGTCACACACCCGCTAACACACACCAACACACGTGCACATATGCACACACACACGAAGATACACACAGGGAGATAGACAGGAGGCACTGAACTACAGGCCAGTGTCCCTAACTTGCATACTATGGAATACGATGGAGAAGGTTGTGCGAAAAAAAGCTAGTGGAACATCTGGAGCGAAAGAACTTTGTAACGCAGCATGAACATGGGTTCAGGGATGGCAAGTCCTGCCTCACAGGATTAATTGAATTCTACGACCAGGCAACAAAAATCAGGCAAGAAAGTGAGGGGTGGGCAGATGGCATATTTTTGGATTGCCAGAAAGCCTTTTACACAGTACCACACAAGAGGCTAATGAAAAAACTGGAGATGCAGGCTGGAGTGATAAGGAAGGTACTCCATTGGATAAGTGAGAACCTAAGCAACAGAAGACAGAGAATCACTGTGAAGGGTGAGGCTTCAGATTGGGAAGACGTCACCAGTGGAGTCCCGCGGGGTTCAGTTCTTGGACATATTCTGTTTCTGATATATGTAAATGATTTCCCAGAGGGTATAGTCTCGTTCCTGTCATTGTTTCTGATGATGACAAAATTATGAGGAGGATTAAAACAGATGACGACAGTAGAAGGCTACAAGATGACCTAGACAAACTGATTGAATAGTCCAACAAATGGGTACTGTGGTTTACCCGAGTAAATGCAAGGTCATGAAACTAGGCGGTGGAAACTACATCTGCGGCATACGCGAGGCTGGCTAACATCAGAACAGCCTTCAGGAACCTTAATAAGGAATCATTCAGAAGCTTGTACACAGCATAAGTAAGGCAAATCCTGGAGTATGCGGCCCCAGCATGGAGCCCGCACCTTGTCACGCACAAGACGAAACTGGAAAAAGTTCAGAGACATGCCACTAGACTAGTCCGAAAACTAAGGGGCATGAGTTACGAGGAAAGGTTGCGTGAGATACACCTCGCGACACTGAAAGACAGAAAAGCGAGGGGAGACATGATCACTATCTACAAAATTATCAGAGGAATTGACAGGGTAGATAAGGATAAACATTTTAACACGGGTGGTACGTGAACAACGGGACAAAGGTGAAGACTGAGTACCAAAATGAGCCACAGGGACGTTAGCAAGAATTTTTTCAGTGTCAGAATAGTTAACAAGGGGAGTGCATTAGATAGTGATGTGTTGAAGGCTGACTAAATACACATTTTCAAATGTAGATATGATAGAGCCCAGTAGGTTCAGGAATCTGTACACCAGTTGATTAAAGGTTGAGAAGCGGGACCAAAGAGCCAGAGCTCAACCCCCGCAAGCACAACTAGGTTAGTACAACTAGGTGAGTTCACACACACACACACACTCACACATACACACTTACCACTGGGACTGGAAGGTAGAGCGACCGTCTCCCTTCTTCCAAGTCGCCGTTCAATCCCCTACAGTCCAAGCGGTTGGACACCATTCTTTTAAGTAGATTAATGACCATAGAGTGGGAGCGGCTGCTGGTGTCCTGCCAGTCCAACCAGTCCTCTAAAAATAACGTCACTTTTCGCTCGTATGCGCGCTATGGCCAAAAGTGGACGTAATTTGAAATGAAATCGACTCACAAAAGTGACGTACTGTCCCGTTTTCTGTTTGAGTCGTCTGGCCTACTCGGAAAGGTTAGGAGAGGAAACTTTCAATTAACATTTTTCATAAAAATTTGAAACTTTATGAGAATTTCCTGCCCACCTAACCTATCAGAGGACCCTTAACTTACTGTTGTTGAAAAAAAAAAATCCCAAATTTATTTTAATTTTTTCTCAATTTCAAATTACGTCCATTTTCGGACATACGGGCAAACGGCCAAAAGCGACGTTATTTTTAAGAGGACAGGTTGGGCAGTCATCTGTTCGAAACAAAATTTATTGTTATTTCAGGATGGTTTTGGATAATAAACTGTCACCAGAAGAACATATAAACAACATCGTGCGGGGAGCGTATGTCTCTCTAACTTCAGACTCGCTATTAATTCCATGGATGGTGAAATAGTAAAGAAACTGCTCATAATTGTTGTGAAGCCAAATTGGAATATGCAGCACTTGTATGGTGCCCATATTTCAAGAAGCACATCAGCAAACTGGAAAAGGGGCAAAGGCATGCTACAAAATGGCTTAAGGATCATAAAAACAAGAGTTACGAGGTGAGGTTAGAGACGTTAAATATGCCAAAGCAAAAAGATAGAAGAACAATAGGTGATATAATCACCACTTACAAAATAATAACAGAAACGATCAAATTGACTAAGAGTAATTCCTGAAACCAGCAACATCACAAACAAGAGGACACAGTTTCAAGCTAAGAAAACAGAGGTGCCGAAAAACATAAGGAATTTTTCTTTTGCAAACAGAGTGTTAAACGGTTGAAACAAGATAAGTGAGCAGGTGATGGAAGCCAAAACCGTCAGTAGTTTCAAATCGTTATATGACAAAGAGTACTGGGAAGACGGGACACCACGAGCGTAACTCTTATCCTGTAACAACACTTAGATAATTACATTTAGGTATTTACACGTACGGAATTACACACAGAAGCTTCAGAGGTATGCCACCAGACTAGTACACGAGCTGAGGGGTATGAGCAACGAGGAAAGACAACGTGCATTAAAGCTCACGTCACTGGAAGACAGAAGAGTTAGGGGGAGACATGATCACCACACACACAAGCTTCTCAGAGGAATTGATTTGGTAGGTAAAGACAGTTTAACAACATAGGGGGCACACGCACTCTGGAACACAGGTGGAAATTGAGAACCCAAATGAGCCATAGAGACATTAGAAAGAACTTTTTTAGTGCCAAAGTAGTTAACAAATGGAATGCATTGGGAAGTGATGTGGTGGATTTAAACTCCATTCACTGTTTCAAATCTAGATATGATGAACCCAATAGATCCAGGAATCTATACACCAGTTGATTGACAGCGGAGAAGCGGGACCAAAGAACCAAATCTCAACCCCGACTATCACAACTAGGTGAGTACAAATTGGTGAGTATTTGCACACAGATTCATATGTGCACACACACATAAATTCAAGCCTTTGACTCTACGGCATCAAAGATCTGTTTATACATCAACAATATGCAACAAGTCACTGCATTTGTGTTTTTCACTGCACATATTCCTTCACTGTTCATCATCAATTGTCCTTCAACACTCATTGTAAGTATCATATCATTGTCCCCCAACACTCATTGTAAGTATCATCTCATTGTCCCCCAACACTCATTGTAAGTATCATCTCATTGTCCCCCAACACTCATTGTAAGTATAATCTCATTGTCCCCCAACACTCATTGTAAGTATCATCTCATTGTCCCCCAACACTCATTGTAAGTATCATCTCATTGTCCCCCAACACTCATTACAGTCATATCCTCTACTTCCCTGGTTCGTTCTGAACGATCATATTCCGAAATTCTTCACTGAATTCATTAATACAAAACTTCAAACGTTTAATTCACTGAAGAGTAATGAATGTTTTATGTTTTATCATTAAAAACATTAGCAAATTTTTTTCATTAACAAAATACTTTTCATTCTGAGTATTTTTGAACTTTTTTCTTTAGAAAGAAACTTCATTCAATTCATGTTTGACTCGAATTTCTAAGTGATTCATTTATGTAATCAAAACATACATCAGTACAACAGAATCAAAATCCGTAACCTAATCAACAGTGGATCTAACTCTCCATATAACCTGCTTCATAAAGTTCATTATTTGATTTTTTTTTATTATGCGCTTTCAAAAGTATGATGCACGAGCCTTTAGGAACACTGCAACGTGTGTACTTCTTGAGGTTGGGATGTTACAAACAAAAAAATTTCTTTAGACAGTGAATTCATCAGTGTCGGAATCCCTCAGCTGATGCTGATCTCTTAAACATTCACTTTTTGCAACAAAAACGTTTCCAGTAATTGATTTTTACTTTCACAGATATTGATAAAATAAATTGCAATTTCCTCAGCAGAGACCAAAAATATATGACGCCCCTACGGGAGAAAAATACTTAGTTGTATTTACTATTATATGAGGATGCCATAAATGAATGGTTCCCTCGCCTAAGATCGAACACCAAAACAGCAAATTCTTTAACAGAGCCTGAATATTGAAGGATTTTTTTTATGAAATAATTTCTGATCCGAAATTATCAGAAATCATTTCTAATTTCTGATCATTTCTGCAGCATAAGCTAACTCCAGGAAGTTTGACTGTATCAACAGAAAAAAAAACTCTTAAGCGTTAAGGATATATCATCTATAAAACTCTCAAATCACGGAACTGAAACTGACCTAAGTTGAGTCATGCACGCGAGCAGTCAATACTGAAAGGGATTCAACCTAGTCATTTAGATGCTTTTATTTTCTTTGCATTTTTTGTGCAATAGTTTCTTGTGCAGGTCCTTGACGGCTTTCCAACGGTGTGCAAGGTGAGTAAGAAAGACAAAGGATTGGTAAGCTTATCTAAATTAATTTCCGTTTATTAACAGGAGGAATTAACACTGAATTGTGAAGTAAAAAGTAAAAAGAGAACGGAAAAAGAGATAGTGCGAGAGACAGATAGATATTCTGAGACAGAGAAAGAAAGGAAGAAAAATAACAATAAAATAAATAATAATGGCACTTTCAATACAATCAAGCTAACCCTTGTTATTAGTAAGAAATATAATATATTCCACTCAGTTTATAAAGATTAATCTGTATAAATCTGATGAATCTGCACTGTAGGAGTCAATGAGGTTTTAAAATGTTATGCACTCTAGAGAGCTGTGTGGTTGATGACGGAATGTAAACCCGTATACTCGACCACAACACCACCACCACAGCAAACCGTCCTCTGTCTATGCTCGTCAGAACTACGTATACGTAATCATAAATTCTCATATACAAAAACATTTTCCTTTTCCCCCCAAAAAAGTTAATACTATTATATATTACAGTTTGTTTGTATATACTTAGACCTGGAGTTTGTTAGGTTTGTTGTCTTCGTATTGTTGTCGGTTTAGAAGTGCAGTACAAACTGAATAAGTTACCTAAGCAATATAAGTTGGAGCATAATACAAAGTAACACAATTTGTCTTCCTCGGCTGCAAGTGTGATTTTCTGATTGCTAATGCCTCAAAAGTTTAGAAAATTGGTAATGTACCATTCTTACTTCGTTTCGAGATTTGCCAAAGACAGCTTGAGACGATGGTTTGCGTACCCGTGAAGGCTGCGGACTCCTTAACTATACCTGTGACACATTGTTTTGTAAGTCAGCAGCCATATACATGTATAACTATACCCCGCGGTTGAAGGAGAAGCCAAAAATGTGAGACACCGTCACAGTTTATGATTTGTTTCTAGTAGCTATTTAGCAGGTGACGTTGTAGCACGGAATTTTCCTTCATTTTGACTGTGTTGCTGTATTATATATGCTTGAGCTCTATTGGTGTTGGTGAACACACATGATACTCACCCAGTTGTACTCACTTAGTTGTGCTTGTGGGGGTTGAGCTTTGGCTCTTTGGTCCCGCCTCTCAACTGTCAATCAAATAGTGTACAGATTCCTGAGCCTATTGCGCTCTATTATATCTAAATTTAAAACTGTGTATGGAGTCAGCCTCCACCACATCACTGCCTAATGTATTCCATTTGTTAACTACCCTGAATGGTGCACATATATGACATCCAGCTGGTGGTGGTGCATTCATAAGAATTAAAGCTGGTGGTGGGGCTCTCCCATCATCACACTCAGTATTGTAATGGCCGGATGTGTGGCGCGTGATATTGCAAAAGAAATAGCCGTTCTTAGGTTTATACCGTCGATATGAAAATATCTGTTAGAAGGCCTGGAGCATCTCTGCAGGGACACATGAACATCATGTTTCACTTAGTTCACTTGTCTGGGCCATGCACTTCTGGGCAAGGTTAAACGTAATCTTCTCCCATGATTTATTTGTTAAATTACTTGAAGATTTATTTGTATTTTCGTCACTACAGAGAAGCGTCCATTCTTCATATCACAAATTTGTTTCCAAATTTCCCTTCGTCATGTGTCAAAGTGCACAGTGAAGGCAACCTTTTTCATCCATGCGTAGTGACCAGCGTATTTGCTGTCTTCAGGTAGCTGGGTAGTGTAAACAGCATCCCAGACGGCATTCACCACGGTTGGAAAATTATTCTTTTCCTTCAGCTGACCTTGAAGATTATGCAGCGCTTTCATAACGACAAGGAGCTTACAAGTTGTTACTGACAAGTTCTCCACATACATCATGAACACTGGTGCAGCAAGTTTATTGATTCATATTACCACATTTTTTTTTTTTGGCTGAATACTTCGTAAGATATTACTGACTCACCAACAAATAAAGTATTCATGGTTTTAAAATATTTACAGAATTCTCAATTACATATTTTACACTAATATAAATCATATATTACATATATTCGACATATATTTTTATTGTAAATAACTTTAGGTGTTGGGGCCACCCTTCGAAATTTGTAGACACTCCGGGTGAAGGTTTCTCACCTTCAGATCTTAATGCAACTGTTGTATTATAATTTTCGTTTTATTTAATCTTTACCTTAATCGTTCCCATTACCAGGAAATTAAGTGCAAAAACGAGGGGCGACGCTCTGACCTTTTTATGCATAAACGAACGAGGAATAACGAACAATTTCATGTTTGCAACCCTTAACATGTGAGAGCAGCGTAAATAAACAATAAACAAATAGATAACGGGTCACACTGAATCAGGAAGCTGCATGGGGGCAACTGGACCATTACAAAAAAATCAAATGTGACAAAATGTAATTTTCCTAGAATTGGGTCATCGTTTTCAACGACAGTTCCGGCTGAGTGAGACCCAGAGACAACCTCGGAGATTAATTCATGGAGCGGAATCCAGGCGACAACCTCGAAAGCAGCGAGACAAGTTGGCTGCCGACACAGCGGAGGATGTGGCATGCAATATGACCGTCCTACAAGGTCGACTACCACAGATCTCTACCGTAAGGTTCCACCAACCACTCACACTCCCATGTTGCTAACGTTGGACTTGAGGTACATGTTTGTTTACTGTGTGTGTGTGTGTGTGTGTGTGTGTGTGTGTGTGTGTGTGTGTGTGTGTGTGTGTGTGTGTGTGTGTGTGTGTGTGTGTGGTGGGGAGTTCCCCAGGTTTATGACTGAACACTTCCTGGTAGTTTTTGTTTAGTAGTTCGCATATTTTCTTGTCATTTATCATTTAGCTCTTTCTCTCTGATGTATACTGAACCTCCTTGATCGTTCACAAATACTTATATGTTGTAACGGTGTTTTAGTTTGCTTTAAAAAACTTTGTTGATTTTTAAGAAATTATATTACTAGGTACTAAATACATTCCTGGTCTTGCTCATGGACAAATATAATAACCAAATAGAAAATATAAAACATTAAATTCAGGATCGTCACGGTATTGTGTGAGAAAAAGCAGTGCCGGATCTTGCGACCTGTAGGTGACAGCTCAAAGAAATATATAAAACTCACTGGGTTCTCTAGGCCAGTGGTGACGTTCATGGGAGATAAACCAAAGTGAGACAAATCAAACTGGTAACTTCAGGAAGAAATATGGCTGTCAGAGGGAAGTATAAGGCTGCAACTCTTACCCAGGTGACCAAGATGATGAAAAGTGCTAGACACGACAGTTAGTATTAACAGATCGCTCACATATTATCCCACATCTTTGCTTGCTAATTGATATGGATTGCAGCGACGAGCATTACTCGCTATAATAATCTTTAATATCTATAGTAGTAGTAGTGACAATAATAACAACAGAAGAAGGACACGGTAATATTGCTGAATTAGTCTTTGTTTGGATTAATGAATTTTGGTCATATTTTTCCACCGTTGCACATGCCACTGACATTGTGCTGTTTAAGTGAGTCTTTGTCTATAGGTTTGTTGTATGTACACCCTTAGGTGTACTTACTATGTTGTATTCACCTAGTAGTGCTTGCGGGGGTGGAGCTTTGGCTCTTTGGTCCCGCCTATCAACTGTCAAACAAATGTGTGTGTGTGTGTGTGTGTGTGTGTGTGTGTGTGTGTGTGTGTGTGTGTGTGTGTGTGTGTGTGTGTGTGTGTGTGTGTGTGTGTGTGTGTGTGTGTGTGTGTGATACATATCTAGTTGTCTGCTGGAACAGAACTGTGACTCATGTGTTATGCTTTATAGTCAGTTATTTTATATGCGACTTTCATATGTTTTTGCTGTCTCAAATTCATTTAATTTCTCCACATCTGTGAACTGATAAAATATTTACGTTCTTCAAACAAACATGAGATTTTAATTTACATTTGTGCCTTCTTCTTCTGCTCCCATACATTGTAAACAGTGCTCCTTTGTCCAGTTTCTCTACTCTTTGAGTTAGCATCTAAGTATCTTGTGCTCTGTTGGATGGGTGATTCAGCCTATTACTTTGCACTCTAATATTGCACCAAAGGCACCAAAGTGCACCAAAGTGCACCAAAGGCACCCTTTGGTGCCTATTAATCATGTTTAAATTACCAATCAAGCTGTCAATGTAATCAATCAGGGCTTTAATATAGCAATGTGCTTTAATATACTTATTAATCTTTCTACTCTCATTTTTTTCTTGCAATGTATCTGTTATCATTTTATTAATTCTGCTAGAATTTACCTACTTAAAATTATCTGTTTGATTAAGGACCTGCCCTAAACGCTGCGCGTACTAGTGGCTTTACAAGATTGTAAATACTATGCTATGTGTTCTCGCAAACCCAATGTACCTTCTTGTAAATAAATAAATAAATAAATAAATAAATAAATAAATAAATAAATAAATAAATACTAGTTTCATGGATGTTATACAAAGCTTTGTGAATGCTTCCAATGTTATCCTGTTTTTATGCTCCTTTTGTGTTAATTTTTTTTCCTCTCCAACTCAGCGAACGGAGTTTTGAGCTGAGCTGTTCCTCTACCCTCGTTTACCCTTCTCTTATCATGATCACCTTGGAGTGAAATAGAGCTGGCTCTCATTCAACTTTTTCTGTATTTATTTTAAACCTTCTTGTCATCCTGTAAACCTCTTTGGTCCTCATTAGCTTAATTTAATCAGTTTCAAAACATGAGCAAACATCGACATGAAGGAGTCCATTACCTTCTTTAACTCATCAATATGCCACCAGACCAGTCGCAGAGGGAAATACGTAATTTATTTGAATAAATTAAAAAACTAAATTCCCAGTTCTGGGTGATAAAAAATCTGTAGACATGATTACGACATACAAACTTTAAAGGAAAGTTAACAAGAAAAACAATAACGAATAATGTACCTTTGAATGTGGCATGAACGAGGGTACACAGGCGGAAATTAAGTGCCCAAAGGGGCTTCATGGATAATAACAAAAAACTTCAGTGTCATACTAGTAAAGAAATTAAGCTGGAATTGAGTAGCTGAAGAAGACTTTACGTTGGTTTCAGGAGATGCGGGCGTAACGGAACCCAGAGTGGTCGGGATGCAGCACACTCGTCGATTGAAGGCCGAGAAGCGGAACTCGAAAACTGATCCACAAAACACAGAACAAACACACGTGGAAACAAGCACACACACGGACAAACGAAGACTTCAACGAGAATGAAAACTTTCGTCCCTGCCATCTTCAAGCTACTTAAATGTTTCTCATTGCACCTTGTTCTTCCTGAAGCACTTTCTTTTCTGTCCCGGTCCCTTAAAATGGTTCAAATCCATCCAGTTCTATCCGATCAATATATATATTATAGCCTTACTGAGTCTGCATCCTCCTGCGAGTTCCTTCTAAAAGCCTATTTGTATTTCTCTCTGACTTTATTTGTCTTTCTCTCGAATTCCCTCTCTCTCTCTCTCTCTCTCTCTTGTCCTTTTGAATGGTTTAAAAGAAAGAAAGGGGAAAATGCACTACACAGTCTTTGTTGTTGTCCACTTTCTCTCTGGCGCTGAGTAAGGAAGTTTACCTTTTTCCTTTTTCTTGGGTAAAAGTCTTGACTCCATTATGAACTCGCGAGAAATATTGGAGGAGATCTTACTACTTACCTAGCAGTACTCACCTACATGTGTTTGCAGGATCATGCACTAGCATCTAAACCATGCCATGTTAAGCTTCAGTCACTTAATGCACTGGCTTTCACTTGTTATTTGTCATATCTGTGCCTGAAACACTACACTCCATTGTCTTCTAGAATCTCTTCTATTCCATTTGAGTTGCTTGCTACCATTACGCAACAACCGTTCCTGGTAACTTTCCTGTATCTCAAGGTCCCCATTAATGATCTACTTTGTCTTATTCTTAACGAGTCCCTCTTTATCTACCAGGTAAGATCCCCTGAGATCCGCATGTTCATTATCATATCTCTTCAAATCCGTCTCGTTCTAGAGTTTGCAGTTCAACTCACTAAAACGTTCTCATAGTTCATTCCTCACAATTCTGGAAAAAGCCTCGTTCCAAACAACTAGATTTTAATATTTTTTTTTACAAACACGGGATGTTTGGGCGACAGGCGACAGCTGACTACTGTTGAAAGGCTGAACGCTCTCCATTCCCCTAGTTCATGGTAAGTCTCATCCATTAGGTTCCTCTGGAATATAACCCTCCAATCATTTAACAACCAGGTACCCAATCGCTGCTGGGGTAACAGAGGCGTACAGATAAAGATTGGCACCGAGTCAATCCTCTTCAGCCAGGAGGATTGACTCGGTTATGGCAAGGGGAAATCGTTCGAAAAGCGCGGGTCGAGTGTGTTACCACTGCGCTACATGGACTGTTTCTCTGGATGAGTTCCATGCGGGAGCTACGTACTCCTGAATGGTTCTTATTGCCAAGGCATTCAAATGCTATTCTTATGGTTGTCAGTCACTGTCCTGATGATGTCATATGCATGAATGTGTACAATGAAGGGGAGAGAGAGAGAGAGAGAGAGAGAGAGAGAGAGAGAGAGAGAGAGAGAGAGAGAGAGAGAGAGAGAGAGAGAGAGAGAGAGAGAGAGAGAGAGAGAGAGAGAGAGAGAGAGAGAGAGAGATGATACCTGGTTGATTACCTGGTTGATGGGGTTCTGGGAGTTCTTCTACTCCCCAAGCCCGGCCCGAGGCCAGGCTCGACTTGTGAGAGTTTGGTCCACCAGGCTGTTGCTTGGAGCGGCCCGCAGGGCCACGTACCCACCACAGCCCGGCTGATCCGGAACTTCTCTTAGAAAACCGTCCAGTTTTCTCTTGAAGATGTCCACGGTTGTTCCGGCAATATTTCTTATGCTCGCTGGGAGGACGTTGAACAACCGCGGACCCCTGATGTTTATACAGTGCTCTCTGATTGTGCCTATGACACCTCTGCTCTTCACAGGTTCAATCTTGCATTTTCTTCCATATCGTTCACTCCAGTACGTTGTTATTTTACTGTGTAGATTTGGGACCTGACCCTCCAGTATTTTCCAGGTGTATATTATTTGGTATCTCTCTCGTCTCCTTTCTAGAGAGTACATTTGGAGAGCTTTGAGACGATCCCAATAATTTAGGTGTTTTATCTCGTCTATGCGTGCCGTATATGTTCTCTGTATTCCCTCTATTTCAGCAATCTCTCCTGCTCTGAAGGGGGAAGTGAGTACTGAGCAGTACTCGAGACGGGACAGCACAAGTGACTTGAAGAGTACAACCATTGTGATGGGATCCCTGGATTTGAAAGTTCTCGTAATCCATCCGATCATTTTTCTGGCTGACGCGATATTTGCTTGGTTATGCTCCCTAAACGTTAGATCGTCGGACATCATTATTCCCAAATCCTTGACATGCTGTTTTCCTACTATGGGAAGATTCGATTGTGTTTTGTACCCTGTATTATGTTTCAGATCCTCATTTTTGCCGTACCTGAGTACCTGAAATTTATCACTGTTAAACATCATGTTATTTTCTGCTGCCCAATCAAAAACTTTGTTGACATCTGCTTGTAGTTTTTCAATGTCTTCAGCAGAGGTAATTTTCATGCTGATTTTTGTGTCATCTGCAAAGGACGACACGAAGCTGTGGCGTGTATTTTTGTCTATATCAGATATGAGAATAAGGAACAGTAGCGGTGCAAGGACTGTACCTTGAGGTACAGAGCTTTTAACATCGCTTGGACTCGATTTTATCTGATTGACTGTTACTCTTTGTGTTCTGTTCGACAGGAAATTGAGTATCCAGCGTCCTACTTTTCCAGTTATTCCCATTGACCTCATTTTGTGAGCTATCACCCCATGGTCACATTTGTCGAACGCCTTTGCAAAGTCTGTGTATACAACATCTGCATTTTGCTTTTCTTCTAGGGCTTCTGTGATTTTGTCATAGTGGTTGAGTAACTGTGACAGACAGGATCTTCCCGCTCTAAATCCATGTTGTCCTGGATTGTGCAATTCATTGTTTTCCATAAAACTAGAAATTTGATTCCTAATCACTCTTTCAAACACTTTTATTATGTGTGATGTTAGTGCAACTGGCCTATAATTTTTTGCCAAGGCTTTACTCCCCCCCTTGTGCAACGGAGCTATATCTGCAGATTTAAGTGCTGCTGGTATCTCCCCGGTATCCAGGCTCTTTCTCCATATTACGCTGAGTGCTCTCGCTACTGGTACTTTACATTTCTTTATGAATATTGAATTCCATGAGTCAGGCCCAGGAGCTGAGTGCATAGGCATATTATCAATTTCTCTTTCAAAGTCTTCCGAGTTTGTGGTAATATCCGTTATATTATCTGCAGCTTGAATGTCATTCATAAAGAAGCTGTCTGGGTCATCAACTTTCATGTTGTTTATTGGTGTGCTAAACATAGCCTCATACTGGCTTCTTAGAATTTCACTAATCTCTTTGGTGTCCTCTGTGTACGTACCTTCATTTGTAATTAACGGTCCAATACTGGTCGAGGTTTTGGATTTTGATTTTGCGTATGTGAAAAAATATTTCGGATTTTTCCTTATCTCTTGTATAGCTTTCTGTTCCAATTCCATTTCCTCAGACTCATATGATCGCTTCAACGTTTGTTCTATTTCCTCAATCTCCCTGCTTAGGCTTGTTTTCCTTGCTTGTGATAGTTGTGTCTGCCGAAGCATTTCCGTTATTTTTTTCCTTCTCCTGTACAGTCGTCTCCGTTCTCTTTCTAGAGTGGTCCTCTTTCTGCCCCTCCTCACAGGTACGTGCTTCAAGCAGACCTTGTAAGCTTCAGCTGTCAGTTGAGCTATTCCCTGTGTGGGAGTTTTGTCGCTTAAGACCGTCTCCCATTGAATGGTTGCAAGGTCTACATTTATTTTTTCCCAGTCAATCCTCTTATTGTTGAAATTGAATTGATTGAATATTCCTTCTCGCTTGTTAGGTCTCTTAGACCTACTACCGTTATTTATGCTAGTTCGCACTTCAATGAGCTTATGGTCTGAGTATGAAGTATCTGAGATTGTGATATCCCTGATTAGTTCATCATTGTTTGTGAATAACAAGTCTAGTGTGTTTTCGTTCCTAGTTGGTTCTGTAATCTGTTGATTGAGCGAGAATTTGTCACAGAATCTCAAAAGTTCTCTAACCTGTGGTTGGTTATTTCCCGGGTCATTCCCTGCTATGATATTTGTGTTTGCCGTTCTCCATCTTAGACTCGGTAAATTGAAATCTCCAAGAAAGATAATATCTGGAGCTGGGTTTGCTAGGTTGTCAAGTATGTTCTCTATTTTGTGCATCTGTTCTGTGAATTCCTCAATCGTTGTATCTGGCGGTTTATATATTAGAATAATAATTAGGTTTAGTTTCTCTACCTTCATTCCAAGTACCTCTACCACCTCATTAGTTGAATTTAATAGTTCTGTGCATACCAGGTCTTCTTTAATATACAGACCTACTCCTCCATTTGACCTAGTTTTTCTATCACATCTATATAGATTATAATTTGGAATCCAGATTTCACCATCCATGTAATCTTTTGTATGAGTTTCCGTGAATGCCCCAAATATTGAGTTTGACTCTAATAGAAGGCCATTTATGAACTTAACTTTATTTCTTGACTTTGGCTTTAAACCTTGAATGTTTGCAAATATGAATGATTGTCCATATTGTGTGTCACTTCTGGAAGGTTTTGGTGGTTCTCCCTCCTCTCTACCCTGACCCAGGGTGTGTTGTTGTGGCAATGGTTTGTCCAGTTTTGGAAGTGATACTGGGGAGTGTGGTAGTCTCTGTGTAGTTGGGGGGTGTAGTATGTGTGGGCTTGATGACGAACTGTAGTCCAGTCTTGGGCATTTCCCCCTCTCCATCCGTACTCCTGCCACGTTTCTGCCTGTCTGTTTCTCCCTCTGTTTGTACCTGCCTCTAAAAAATTTTCAGGGCTATTATGTTGGACTTCTTCTCTTATATGGCGCTGTGTACCTCTGACGTGGAAATCGGGGCAGTGAAGATCGTAGCATTTCCTCTCATTGACTGAGAGTGTGCATAGCTTAGGGTGAAAATATCTACACTCTGTATCAAAACGACATCTGCCTTTCCCTAACCAGTTTCGGCATTTCCGTGGGTGCATGAATGAGCATTCCGTGCCTCTGGGCCCATATCTACACTGTCCTTTTGCATAATACCAGCAAATATTTTCATTTGTGATTGTATTATTCTTGTTTGTACCCGTGCACGACTTGGCTACCTCTGTGTTTTTTGTTCCAACTTTCTCGTTTCTGCATTCATTCTCGGTATTGCCCTTATCTTTCTCCTTGTTGCTTTCGTCTTTCTCATTTGTGTTCTCATTCGTCTCATTTTTTCTCTCCTTATTCATATCACCAGTGTGCTCTACAATATTGCCTTCATTTTTGTGTACCTCGACACTATACCCGTCTACATTGCTACTTTGACTCTCTAACTTCTCAGTCCCTGGGTTGTGTTCAGAGTTCGTTGCTGTCTTTATATACTCTGCATATATTTCTGGTAGTTTTTGTGTGAATTGTAGCCTGTGTACTTCAGGAATGTTATTCATTAGTTTGGTGATGTTTTCCCACAACTGTCTGTCTCTTTGACAGATCCAGTAGTTACCTTCCCGGTTTGCATATTGTGTAGGTAATCCTGTACAACTCAGGTGAAACCTTATGTTACAAATGTTACATACAATGCCTACAACACTCTTCCGAAGTGACTTAAGGCAGCCTCCACACACCTCCATGTTGGGTTTGTGATGTTATAATAATATATGCATATATTTAAGTATTATATGTATGTATATATAATATGTATCCAGTATATTTATAATATTACATATGTTTATTTGTTCAAGTTTATGTGGGGGTACTTATCGCCTTGTGGAGAAAATATGGTCGTCTTGGGACCGTCCAGTT